GGCCCCCCCCCCCCCCCCCCCCGACCCAAGACCCCTGTTACGCGCCTGCTTATAAGTGGGGCCCCCCAATTTGAAAAACGTTCCGCCGGCCCTGTTGAAACAGAAATTTTACAGGTCAAGGTTTTACGAGCGTATTATCAGAAAGTGTGGTTCATGTGCCAAAAGAAATAGCCCTCTCCAACGAAGGCGGGCATGACTTCAACAGTGGCCTGTCCATGAAGCTATGGAACGAATTGCAATGGACGTCTCAGGACCGTTTCCCCAGTCAACCAGAGGTAACAAATACGTTTTGGTGGTGAGAGAGTACCTGTCCAAATGGATGGAGGCATATGCTCTTCCAGATCAGTGTACCGGAATTGTAGATAAGAAATTGATGGAAGAGTTTGTGTTGCGCTACGGGGTTCATAAGCAGATCCACTCGGATCAGAGACGAAACTTTGAGTCTGCCGTTGTTACAGAAATGTGTGTTTTGTTAGGAACCCACAAAACTAGAACAACTCCATATCGGATGGATTAGTTGAACGATTCAACATGACGTTAGTGGATATGGTAGCAATTATGCTACAACCCTACTCCGACCAGAGCAATTGGGACGAGATGTTGCCATATGCAACTTTTGCCTACCACATACACCATAAGAATCAACGGGAGAGACACCGTTCATGATAATGTTCGGTGGTAGAGAGGCCGCAGTGCCAGTAGACTTAATGGTAGAACCGGAAGAAGGGGATGGACCTGGAGACGACCTGGCCTCGAACACAAGGAACCGCCTAGAAATGTCTTCAGAGAGGGCGAAGGAAGCCTTAAAAGCCAGCGCCCAGAGGCAAAAAGGAAAGAAGGGAGTTCGTGCAGTTGTACGATAAAACAAAAGGAAAGGGAGTCTCTCCAAAACTTGAAAGTCGGTGCCCGGGACAATACCGAATAGCCACAAAGTTGTCGGAAGTGACCTACATACTTGAGCTGAAGCCAAGAGGCAGAAATCGGGTGGTGCATTATGAACTACTGAATAAATTTGAGGGTGATATCCCAACTGAATGGGGACCAATGAGGGTGGACGAAGAAGTTAGCCCTTCTCTACGAGAGTCGGACCTCGGTAATACCGCTACAAATCCACCTGACACTGAACAAGACCCTGAAGACAGATGTGTTCCATCCTGCCGGGATGAAGCTGAGATACCAAGGACACGGTACTCACAGTGAAATCGGCAACGGCTGGAGGCATAGTAGACCCTCCATTCGATTACTTGTATTTTAATTGTCGTAACTTCTTGTTAACATGATTCAGGGGACAAATCAATCCGAGAGTGGGGTAATGTAACGAAAATGGGTTCTCCCATGTTACCTCCTATCCTAATAGAATAGGCCACCTTATGAGGTGTGCCCTGATTGGTTATTTGATGCATGCGATGTTTCTAGATAAAACATTTCAGAGGATGGAATGTAGAACACAGCGGCGAGTGCGAAGCACAACTCAGGGTCAAAAGTGGAACGTGAAATTTGGATATGGTTTTGTAGTCAGATTTGCGAGAAAAACTTCAGCTACCCGTATTTCTCGACTTAGACGTCAGTGGGAGCTGTAATTTGTATGGCAAGGAGATTGAGCAACCCTTCATTCATATTAAAGGAATTTACGCCCACAAACTTTGTAGTTATTAATATTTTGGTTATAATAGAAAATATTCATTTTTTGGTGACGTCACACTCACATTAGTTAGCATGCATACGTCATAAGCTAGTCTCTTATACACATCTACGTCATAAGGTAGATACGTCACCTTTTCCTGGTAAGGCAAACTTTCCCGGCGTGCTTTTTTCATGGATAAACAAACACCACTGCTTTGCACATGGATGCCTTGCCCAAGCCAGGGCTACAAGAGCCCCATTGTTAGCATTGTATAATACTTAAATAAGGTACCTCTGCAAATGAATTATTCTTAGTTATTTTTTTATATTTTAATTTATTTCTTCCAAAAGTGTAGTTTCTATCACATATAATTCCACTGTCTTAGTTAGGCCTAGGCCTAGTCTTATGCCTCATCGTCCCCCGCTACCTAGTACATCAGCAGCCCTTCCCCCATACAGTACAGACATTTGCTAGGTAACAACGTGATTGCACCTTCCTTCCCAGGTGTTCATATAACATTGACATAATTGTTAGCTAACCAGTTGTGTGTATTTCTTTGTGAAAATGAGTACCGTGGCGTACTCATTTTCACAAAGCATTTGCATCCCTCTTGGAAAGAGGGATTCGAAATAATTGTCTCCATATCTTCGCTAATTAAATTAATTACCGTAATTTAGCTTACACTTAATTTAGGGAGCACTTAAAATGTGAAATAATCATTTCACTACCCGACAAACTACATAATAGTTTCAAATTGCTGTACTATATACTCCAACATCACTGGCGCATAGTAACAACCAACTGACTGCAGACCATTTCCGGTCACACATTACTCTCCATAACACAGCACCCCCTAGTTTCGTCACCTCTGGATATTTGGTCCTGTTAAAATACAGACGTTCCCAGGGATAGATATGCCTATTCTAGATAGTTGAGCTTTCTGTACAGTACAAGTTTTACTATTATATGTGAGTACAATAAAAGAGTCTGTTGAATATTCACGCTCCTTTACATTGTGCTGCTAAGGTAGTACATTTTGTTGTAGAGCACTCATATTTTAAGATGGTGCATTGTTTATGTAATAATATTTTGCAATTTGCATAGCACACTCATTTTGGTTTGTGCACTCTTGTATTAATAATCAGTGTACCACGTCACACAGGGCTGACCCAAGCCATGTTTGAGTCTGTCGTGTGTTTCATTCTTGAAATCCTGAGCTGCACTGATAGATCTAACAAGATCGAAACGGTACTGTCTGCAGATTGGAATGTATGTATATATATATGTATATATATATATATATATATATATATATATATATATATATGTGTGTGTGTGTGTGTGTGGGTGTGTGTGTGTGTGTGTTTTATTTCATACGGTATACTGTATGTAAATTATACATATGAAATTAAACAGCGCCCTTACGTGTTTTAATTGTGAGGTTTTATTGGTGCTCATTGACGCATATATAATCCCTAAGAAAGAGAGATTATATACAATAAAAGACGGAATCAAGGCTGGATGTGCAACACATGTTTGTTGTCAACAAACACTTAGAAAGAGAATAAGTACCGGTACTGTATTATAGTAGCATACGTTAGGAGAACAACAATTAGGTGAGATTTTATGTTTTATGTTTTTATGTAGTCATTGACAACCACTTGTTCAGCTTAGTTTTGTTTACACTTTATCAATTTTTTACTAGTATTCTGTATTAATTTTCATATAAGGTAATTTGAATTTATCTCTGGATTGGAGAAAAATAACCAATCAATCGGAATTGTACATCAAAATCAGAAAAATTTGACCGATTGATCAATCTGCAATTAACAGATCGCGTAATTGGGCCCTAAATAACTGAATATTTAGGTATAAAAACAATAAATTAAAGTGAGTTAAATATGAATATGAATATTAATTACTAATAGTCTACACAGGTAGTCCAACATTAAAGCCTTGTCCAGACTATCACATTTTATTTGACAAAAACATGTGACATGCCTAAATATCGTCATGGTGACATCAATTGATGACCATTATGACACATCATGATTGTAGATGGGCATATAACAGTGTTTTTGTCAAAGAAAATTTGGCTTAAAGTTTGTTCACGCTGGGGTCGGTGTGTGTTCTATTACAGCATATGTCTATTTAATCTTCTTATTCAACATATAATTGTATAGGTCTATACAATAATAACTTCATGACTAGGCTATAATGTCCTGATATTTTGAAGGTCTGTGATTATTCAACCGAGTAAAGAGGTACGAAGACATGACCTAGCTGTGTTGACAGTCAGTTTACCCGCAACTTGTATAGACAAAATTTATTGAAGACGAGTATTTCGGACAAGCCTGTATCCTTCCTCGGCGTTAGTCGTTTTAATGGGAAGTACAACACATATCAAATAAAAACTGTAGTAAGTAAGCACCATGTGAGCAACTGCGTAGATAATGAATAGCTAAAATGTAAACGTAAATAACAGCCAGAATTAGAACAAAAGATTTCTAACAATTCACTGGTCCTTCCGCAGTGGTAAGGAATTATAGTATATTATAGTTATACAGTATATGCAGAAAAAAATGAACTGGTACCATGCAATGACATGACCTAGCTGTGTCAGTTTACCCGGAAACACCATGACTAATAGTCTTAAGAAAATCCGCCATTTTTCAAGAGGAGTTAAATAACAGTACCGTCAACCTTGAGGATTTAACAATGAGGCAGTCTACTATTTTAAAGATTACGAGGCCCAACAGCAGAATGGAAATACAACGTCATAGGAATTATTTGATCATACTGACAGCTTTATCAAGATCATTAAAACTTTACTGTGTTATAGAGGGTATTACATAGTCACACCTACTGAATATAAGATACAGATCAGATTTTTTTGTTTATCTTTTTTTTTTTAATAAATAAACAACTTATTTGACATTTAAAAGATCTTTAAAACAGATTGGCCTAATATACACATTGTTATTGTTTAAGTTTATAATAATAATAATAATAATAATAATAATAATAATAATAATAATAATAATAATATTATTATTATTATTATTATTAATAGTACTCATCATATACTAGTTGGAGTAAAAAATCTTTAAAATAGATAGACCTAATATACACAATGTTGTTAAGCATATTATATTATATTATTGTTATTATTATTATTATTATTATTATTAATAATAATAATAATAATAATCATATACTAATTTGAGTAAGGACCAACAAAAGTCTGTGACGATTTACCGTTTACAATTATTGGCATTTTTTGAGTTCCTAGTGATGTCCTTTAAAATATCCTAAAAATAGTTTTCACACAAATATACAAACTGTTGGACACACTACAAAAATCAATAAAATAGGCTTTAGGGTATTAATCTTTTATATATGGTAATTCCTGCAGCATTTGGTGACTTGGCTGCACATATTGATTATCTAGACATTTATGACACTCCTGGAGTGATTGTCGGCCTCCCTCTGAAATGATGATGATGATGATGATAATAATATTAATAATAATAATAATAATAATAATAATAATAATAATAATAATAATAATAATGATAATAACGATAATAATAATAATGATTATTAGAAGAATTAATAAAAAAATAAAAAATAATAATTACTATTGCCTATTCCGTCTCGATAATAGCAGTTACCAATATTATTATTATTATTATTATTATTATTATTATTATTATTATGTTATGTTATCATGCATGTTTTGTAAAAGACAAAACTATGTTTGTCTGTTCAAAACATGTTTTGTAAAAGAGAAAACCATGACTGTCAGTACAAAACATGTTTTTTAAAGACAAAACCATGTTTGTCTATACAAAAATCCCTCGCCTCTTCACGTTCTCTTCGTCATTCTGACCATCTCAAACTCATTGACAAACGTTGCAAAACTGAAACTTACGGAAGATTCTACTTCAATCGTATTGTACCTATGTGGAACCAACTCCCTCACCCCATACGTTCAAACTCGACAATATCTGGTTTTAAGCGAGCCTTACGCATATTTTATGAGCTTCAGTTTGTCAACGAGTTTGACCCTGCCAGCACTTGCACCTGGGTTACTAAATGTTTTAGTCATTTATGTAGAACTGTTTAACTTTCTTCTTTTTTCTTTTCGACTTATATTATTATGTATGTAGAACTGTGTAACTTTTTTCTTTTTTACTTATATTATTAAGTATTCGCCGTTGGGTTTTGTGCATTTGGAGAGCGTGTCGTGTTAGAGATGCTTGTACCTGTTGATACGCTCTCTCACTGGAATTTCTATTTATATATATATTTTTGTACTGTTGGCAGTGTAAAGCCGAATAAAATTTTTAAAAATTAAATAAAACATGATTTGTAATAGACAAAACATGTTTTGTAAAGACAAAACCATGTTTGTCTGTACAAAACATGTTTTGTAATAGACAAAACCATGTTTTTCTGTACAAAACATGTTCTCTAGTAGACAAAACATGTTTTGTAAATACAAAACCATGTTTGTACAAAACAAATTTTTTAAAATACAACATGTATTGTAAAAGGTCAACATGTTTTGTAAAAGGTCGCCGTACGACAAAACTTTTACTTTGTTAGCCAGAAACCATGTTTTGTAAACAGACAAAATCGTGTTTATTTAGCCAAACAGTGTTTGTCGTTTACTCAAACATAAAACTTTTTTTTCGCTTACAAAACACGATTAATCCTTACTTGTGTCCTCAATGTCACAATATAACATAGCTTCTTATATACGTTATAGAACAATACATAATGGGGAACAATTAGAGGAAGGGGTGGGAAAACTTGACTCGCCTGGCCTATTATATATAGTGTGGTAGAGGCCCCCACCGCTGATTCAGATTTCACAGAACCCATTAGACATATTGTTCTCCACTATACCTACTAGCTACCTAGCATGAATCTCACCTAGCCTATCTTATGGGTGATTATCCTAGGCCTGGTATAGGTGGCCAAGCTCATATTGGTCAATATTCGGTGACGAAAAATTAGGTATTTTTTTTTCACAGGAACCTACAAAAATCAAGCCAAGCGTCCACTAATTGAATTCAATTAGTGGACGCTTGGGGGTATAGGCAAATAACATTGGGAGTTGCAGTGATGACGTCACGATTGACTTATAATATATAATAAGAATAAAATAACAACAATAATGGTAATGATAATAATACACTTCCAGTACCAGTGCATTCATTTATGCTATTATTTAAAACCATTGTACTTGTCTGTTAATCTTCAGATTTAAATTATGTCACCAGCGAAGTCGTATAGATGTATCATAGCATTGCTTTCAATATTTCAATTTAAAATTGGCTCAGGCATACTGACTTTACCAGATCGTGAGTACAATTTCATTATGTCTAACATTCAAGAAATCACTATTAACAGCTCAATTAAATATTGGATATTAAATATTAAATATTTAGACATTGCAAACCTATTATTTTTCAGAGAATACAAAACTGGTATACTTAAAGCCCCATTCCCGGAAAAATTTCACTTAAAAAAAGGGTTTTTTTTTTTAGAAAAAATGAATAAGCATTACTCCAATGATTATACATCATGGAAAAATATTGGTATAACTTTGGTTTTAAGCAAAAAAAAAAAAAAAAAAAAAAAAAAAAAAAAAAAAAAAAAAAAAAAAAAAAAAATACAAAAAATACAAAAAAAAAATAAAAATAAAATATATAAAACTAGCACATATCAAAAAAATTCATTACCAAGAAATTTCATTATGACAACAAATTAAAGCTAATTTTTGTCATTAAACGATTTAACCATGAATGGAATTGGACTATGACTATGACGTTTAGTACGGATTTTAGGCATGGAAAGTGAGTCAGCATTTCTGAGGGAGAAACCACTTTCTTCAGATCTTAATTTTGGTAACCAGTCACGGAATTCATTAGACTTCATTAGGGAAATAGCAAAAGTGTAACAAATATTGTCCCGTCTCTTCTTTAGCTCCTCGATATTATATCAGCGTATATAGACAGGCCTAGCAATTCAACCTAATTACGAGCAAACACACAACTGCAAAAAAAAAAAAAAAAAAATCTTATACACATCTAGATAAGAAAAGAAATACAGACTATTTCTCAATTTCTCAAAGGAGATTACCATTTACTCGACGAATTCTTCGTTACTAGGCAAATTAAGAGGTTTTAGATTGCATCCGCTGGAATGCTCTTGCTTTTATGTATATTTTATAGTCAATAAAGTGCGCCCTCTCTAATGAAATTTGTTTTTGTCAAAGATCTTATAAACACAAGATAGATTTCTCCACGATTTACGCGTGCAAATTTTGTAACAATGCATGAAAAGCGTCCTCTTGCAAAATTGAAAACTTTTGAACCTTGACCGCTTTGATCATAATGTACGCCGCGCGACTTTACGTTTACTTCTATTTGTTACGCGTAAATCGCGGAGAACGCTATCTTATGTTTATAAGATCTTTGGAGAAGAGTAATCAGTTTTGAGAGAGGGCGTCCTAGTCGTTGGTTCCTGTTCTGCTGTTCACAGTGACACCCTAAAGGTAAAGTCGCGCGGTGTACGGTGTACGGTATGGTAAGAGCGGTCAAGGGTCAAAAGTTTCCAATTTAGCAAGAGGTCGCCATTCATGCCTTATTATAGAATTTGCACGCGTAAATCGCAGAGAACGCTATCTTGTTTTTATAAGATCTTTGCTCTTCTCTGCCAAATCTACGCTTCTATTTGTTACACGTAAATCGCGGAGAACGCTATTTTGGGTTTATAAGATCTTTGTTTTTGTCGAAGGTCTTATAAACACAATGTATCCGCGAGCAAATTCTGTAATAACGCAATGTACGGCGCCCTCTTGCAAAAGTGAAAGCTTTTGAACTTTGATTGCTTTCAACATGGCGTACACCTCGCGAATTTACCTTTACGCGAACCTGAACTCTATTTACAATTAAGGAACAATAACATAATGAACTTTGGTGTAACGCGAACACCTTATCTCAGATCTATGGCAACAACTAGGACGCCCTCTCCCAAAAATTATTACTTTCTGCTGCCAAATCGAGGCTTCTATTTGTTACGCGTAAATCGCGAAAAACGCTATCTTGTGTTTATAAGATCTTTGATTTTTGTAATTTTCGGCGCCTACTATATTTCTTCGCAGATCTATCGCAAAATCAAACATGAGAAATTTATCAGCATTTTGTGTGTGTATGTGTGTGTGTGTGTGTGTGTGTGTGTGTGTGACCATAGAGCTATTAAACAACTAGAGTGTTGACAAGATGACGAAGCAATGCAGAGTTATGTATGCGTTACCATCCAAGATGGCTGCCGTAGGAAAGCGCCACCTTCAGGCTTACTATACATATTATTACCATAGATAAGCCCTCTGACTGACTTTTATTTCATTAATGATAATTAGTATTGATAATAACAAATAATTAAACTATCGTAGCCAAAAAGAGGCCAAGTAGAGTATCTTATTCAAAAATAATACAAAAATTAAAATCGTGTACATTACATCCACACACAGCTCTGCGTATTTCGAACATTTAATACATTGCAGTTAGCGCTCTAGTATTCTTATTATATCTCAATGGTGTGTACCATCCAAGATGGCTACCATAGATTCAGCCAATCAAATTTTACCTAAGCACTATTATTTTTTTTAATGGCGCCCTCAATTTACACAGAAATTCAGTACAGCGAGTTACCCGTATGTTTGCAATTCGAACGTTGCGGTGTATGGGTGTAATGTACACGGTTTTAATTTTGTTTTTAATTTTTGAATAAGATGCTCTACTTGGCCTCTTTTTGGCTACGATAGTGTAATAATTTGTTATTACCATTACTTATTATCTTTAATGAAATAATAGCTAGTCAGAGGGCTTATTTATGGAAATAATATGTATAGCAAGCCTGAATTGGCGGCGCTTTACTACGACGGCCATCTTGGATAGTACACATACATACCGGTAACTCTGCATTGCTTCACCATCTTGTCAGCATTCTAGTTGTTTAATAGTTCTATGTTTTTAGGACAATTTGTTCGGCATTACGTCGTCTAGCGCTCACATGATTTGTCGGCGACGGTCGTACGACGCAGTGTGTGCCCGGCTTAAAACCCCACTCCCGGCAAAATTTCAGTTGTTAAGACAAATCTGATTTTTGTATATGTTATGAAGATTTATAAATATAATACGAAATTGCTAGTTTAACTAAACATGAACAAATGTAAAATAAGTCAGATTTGATTTTTAGTGTTCCACACACACACACAGAGCCATATATATAAAGAGTTGCGACATTCCGCTCCTTTCATAATCTGTACAGCCATAATACAATATTAAAATAGAGTCGAGACTTTTAATACAATAAAATGTACGTTACACAATTACACAAGTTGAATATATCACAGATCCTCTATATCATTTAACACTTACAATTATAACATTTACAGCAAAGCACAGTTTATATATTGCGGCCAACTGACTTATACTATTTTAATATTTATAAATAATAATAATCAAAAAATTCTCAATGTCGCAACTCTTTCTATCTATGGCTCTGCACACACACACCCACACCCGCCCACACACACACACACACACACACACAGCTCTGCGTATTTCGAACGTGGAATACATTGCAGTTAGCGCTCTAGTATTCTTATTATTTCTCTATGGTGTACATTACACCCATACACCGCAACGCTCGAGTTTCAAACATACGGGTAACTAGCTAGTGTACTAAACTTTCTGTGTAAATTGAGGGCGCAATTGCAAATGATGGTGCTTAGGCGAAATTTTATTGGCTAAATCTATGACAGCCATCTTGGATGGTACACACACACACACAATTCTGCGTATTTCTAGTATTCTTAGGCCTAGTTCAGACTAGGTGGATACACCCGGCTCAACTCACCGGGCTTTAATCGTTGCGGGGTGGGGTCTTGCATTGACTTCCGGGTAACAAAATGACCAATCAGCATTCAATTACGTACGCTGTGAGCGAGCGTACGTACGTTTGACGAGCAATGTTTTGAAACACGTTTCCTGGTTACGGTTCATTATTATGCAAATTCTCGCCTGGACAAATCCGCTAGTCTGAACGCCCGGCAAAGTTAAGCCGGGCTTAACGTTGAGCCAGGCTTAACTCATGCCTGTCTTATCTTCAAGTCTGAACGTAGCCTTATAAAGGCTAGCGTATCGTTAATCGAGTGGTGTGAACTTGGTCGCGGCGTAGCGAATGCCTGTAATATCACGAAATCACTGGCGTACGGTAATCCAGTAACAGACCCCAGATTAGCGTACGCCACTGATTTACGACAGTAAATCAGTCAGGAATAGACCAATCAAAATAAACCTAGATGTAAACAGAAAATAAAATGCGCAAATTACGAATACGAGTATTTCGCGCGAATACATACGCTAGCGTTCATTAGTCAGGGCCGTCGGAACCATACCGGCACCACTTTTTCTCAAAAAAAAGTAAAAATAAATAAATAAATAAATAAATATGGGCTAAAAGCTTAAAGGTCTTTGTAGCACAAGACCTTCAATCTCAGTATAATTCAAGCGGTGGGGGAGGTCACACAACAGGTTCAGAATAGATAAGTGAGTAGCACATAGCATTAATACATTAAAATGTTTGCCCCATTTTTAATTTTTTTTAAACATGGTAAAATATAAATATTTAAGTCTGAATGAGTGTCATAACCAGAATTTGTTTTGCAACTCCAACTTTAAAGTCCTTGATGAGATTTACGGCGCCCGTGAGGAAAGGGGTGTCTCAGGGAGTTTTAGCATAGGCCTATCTCCCATCCCGTCTGGAGGAAGTCAATAATTTTAACGAGGAACACTGCTTTGAAAAAGCATTTTTACCAGCAGAGAGTGCACTTTCCGAGTGTCTAGAGGGGTCGATTTTTAAAATTTGCTGACCTCAGCCCCAACCGGTGGGTGCGTGTGGACTACAGTGACGGATTCAAGGGGGTCTGAGCCGGCCGCTCCCCACTCCCTTAATTTTGTTCAAAAAAGGGAGAAAAAAGGAAAATGTAAAACTTAAATTAAGTCTGCGATTGCTATTTCTGGCCATCTAAAGGTGTCATAATCATAAATTTTCTTACCTAAGCCCCAACCACAGTGGGGGCTAAGGTGGTTTAGATTTTTGGTCTGTCAAATCCATCCCTAGCCCCCCTGTATTTTGAAATCCTGGATCCGCCACTGGACTACCTATTGGGCCCTCCCCCGTTAGAAAATTTCCAAGTAAACTTTGAGAAAAACAAAAGATACAATATTTCGTTCATGGTTGGCATAAACGGAGCCTAAGATGTCTAGCTATGTACAGGCTTTAAAACGATGGCTAGACCCGTGTGAATATTGTCCAATATATCGTAAGATAATAAATACGATTTTTTATTCCGGCAAACACTATTTGTACAGTAGTAAAGAATATACTAGATGGGGTCGTGGCAAGTCGTGGGTTGACAGTGCGAGAGATCCGATGATGTCCGTGCATACATCTTCACCGTCGTCGCGCTCGGTTCTCAAAATTCTATCTTACCGATTTTACGTCTGCATCTGTGGCCCAATTTTGGTTAAAATACATGTCTGTTTTCTATTTTATGTTGTAATGTCAATTTCGGATGCGGTATTTCTCCAAACTGTACTTGAGTGAAAAGAAGACCTGTGAAAATTTATTCGAATTATTGGAAAATTTTGGTCGGTCACGGAGGGCAACACAACATAATTTTTTTGGCCTAATCATAAAGTACCGGTAAAAATCATAATTTATAAATAACACAAATACACTAATAAAAATGCCTAAAAAATAAAATTAATTAAATAAAAATGGAACTAAAAAGTATATTTGATTGTTACAAAGATATGAGAGCGCATTTTCGGGAATTTATAACAAAAACAAAATTTTACCAAGGACTTCTGGACCCCAAACGGCACCCCTCCCACTTTTCTTCAACCACCCCTATATATATATATATAAATGATCAAAGAAAGGTAAATACAGTATTCGAATGAAGGACATAATAATACATCGTGAATCATACTTATCAATGAATGTTGTCCTATAAATAAATAAAGACATTGTGTAATAAAATGCCTCTGACAGGATTGGGACCTGCGACCTCTCGCTGTCAATGCGAGCGTCATAAACATTAGATCACAGAGGCCTCATTGTTGAGCAGATACAAATTACCGCCAGATACACTCTATTACACAATAAGTACGGCTGGAAACAAATAGTTGCATATATTATAAATCAAGTCGTTAACACTGTTTATTTTTATTTTTATACAGAAACTGTATCAGTGTATGGTATCGATATTGACATATGTTCTGCGACACATCAATGTCAACCAAGGCATCGATGTGGCTTGGCTCCAAAGGACGGAGATGACTGTGGATGCGACGCTGCGTGTGAATACTATGGAGATTGTTGCTATGACTACTCGTCTGCGTGTAATTCCTCTGAGTTCACCCCACCCACGGCAGATGCCAATCAACTTCAATGTGTGGCAGGAGATTCCATTATTTCTGATGGCTATTACACAATAGCATTATGCAGAGACGACAGTACCGTTAATATCGACACAATCGAAAAATGTGAGCATCCTGGTTTGGATGACATTCTCTTGACAATCATTGTATCGGATGGAGACAATAACATCTACAAAAATGTGTACTGTGCTCTATGCAATGGTGTGCCAATATCTGAGTTGACCGCGTGGGAGATTACTTTCAATTGTTTCGATGACGACGTTCGCGAAGAATTCGGTATAGAAACAAGCGCGCCAATCATTCCTCTATTACCTCTATTTCTTGGTACAACTCAAAGACCACCAACAACTACCGAGACGCCTCCTCCAAATATACACGAACAACTAGGTAGTACTTTAAAGTGTAACAATGTTGAATTTAGACCACCATCCGGAAAACAGGATTCACGACGAATTTGTAATTCAAGAGCAAAGTCAAGTTGTGGTGGGATTTACTTAAACACAAGTGTAATCCGGGCTTGTGAAATGAAGTACAAGGGTATTGTCTATGGCAGTAATGTTTATAAGAATCCACATTGCGCAATTTGTAACGATGATTCTTTTTACACTTGTGACGAGTTCACAACAAGCAGAGCGGTGTTTGGATTAACACCATTGACTGTAATAGTTGACTTTTCTGCTCAAAGTAGCATCAGTGTTCATTCATTTTATGGGGCTTACGTCACTGAAGGAGTCGATTGTGCTACTGGTGAAGTCTTTGATCCGTTTACCAACATGTGTCTTCAAGTAACGTGTAAACCTGGATTTATACTTCAAGGATCGAAGTGCGTTGCACCAGTAATCTCATCGGGGTGCAGTAACAGTGCCATTAATATACCTGATGAAATGTTCTGTTTATGCAAATTGCAAGAACAATCAATGCTTATTGAATATCAATATATAAACGATGAGAAGAATTTTAAGTCTGTAAATGAATTCATAAAAGATCTGGAAGTCCTAGAGGTAAAATATTTGGAAAATTCTTCAAAACATACGAATATGACGATTATAACAATTTCAATAAAAATAATAAAATGTCAGTTAGCGTATGATATATCTGATTTATTAAATATTAGAATCAATAAAACTAATGATTCCCAATTAAGCCGGGTGACTCTCAAGCAAAACTGTTCATTGACTGAAATACACAGTAGATTATTTTGTGAATACGAAAGGTTTCTGCTTTCAGATGATTTCTTTGAGAACTTTGATAATACTACGCGAAGCGTAAGTAATGGGAACTCTTCCACATTGATTCCTGATGATGGATATATTTTGGAGATCGTCCATCAGTTTGTTAATGAGTCTTCTATTTGTAGTAGTTTATCAATATTGACATGTGAGGTTTGTCCACAAATTCAATTAGATTCATCAGCATTCGCCGAGGAAGGTAATGGAACACTAGTTCACGAATTGACTGGACAAATTTTTGAAGAAAATGAGTATGTTTTTTCGAATTACTCAGACACCAGTAATGTTCTTGTGTGTTCTTTTCTGAACCAGACTGGACCAACAATTGTAAAAACACAATTCTTTGATTATTCTGGTGCTTTACTAATTATCAGTGTCGTTGGCACCATTCTCTCACTAATTGGTCTCCTCATTACGATTCTTCTACGTGTCGTCATTAAGGAGTTAAAGACACTTTCTGGAAAGATTATCTTAAATGTTTCCATCTCATTGTTTTGTGCATTATTGTTGACATTAATTCAAGGAAATTTTACTAAATGGACAACATTTTGTGAAATAGTCGCGGTCATCCTGCATTATCTGTGGCTTGTATGCTTTTTATGGATGAACGCCATGGCATTTGAGCTTTTTCGAACTTTCCGGTTTCTTAGAGCCTCGTCCCGAAGTGAACGTTCTCAGAAAAAATCGTATATCATATATTTTATATACAGCTGGGGAATTCCAACAGCCTATGTTGGAGTTATTGTAGGCATACGTTTTTGTGACTGCACAAGTTTAAACTTGATGTACGGCGATGATTCTGTTTGTTGGATTCAAGATGAAGTTGCATCATTCTTTGTGTTTGGTATTCCATTAGCTGTGATCCTTATACCTAATCTTATATTATTTGTGGCAACTATTAGAGGAATTCGGGAGGCTAGTAAATCTACTGCCGCCGTTAGTTATAACAAATCCAAGCGTAAACAATTGGCAGAGGAAATGGTCATCTACATCCGGGTAAGTTGACAACATTCCATACTCTTCGTATACTTATATTATCATTGATCACTCATGATTGAATCATGTCTATACTTAATAGTCAACTGCAATAATACTGTATCATGATTCATCCTATATTTTTGTTATGTTCACCTATGAAATCTACTTCTGTTACTAATGTCAACGTAGATGCATAGACAGGGTGCAAGATTTATTGCGGGTTTTTATGTTTAGTATGATTCTTGTATTTGTTTTTATTGATATTTATATGGTAAGAGCAGCTAGCTCAGTCGGCTAAACTGGTGGAAGCGCACCGTCTTTCGGATGAGACGTTTAAGCCGTTGGTCTCTTGTGCAAAACGGCCCATATCCACGTTAAAGAACTCAGCACACTCTTCAGAAGAGTAGGAGATTGTCTCCTGATGTAGTGCCCAATCACCACCAGGACCCCACTCTGGAAATGAGTCTTCTTCAGACTTCCGGGTTTATACTTGGTGTTCAGATAAACTAAATCTATCCAATAAATGTTATTTGCTTAACTATTGCTGTTATATAATCGTTTTACATACAAATTATAATTCTTTGTATTTTATATTTTACTTCTATCCTGTTTTATAAAATCAAAGTCAAACGAGTTTACAACTTTCTTTAATTTCAGATTTCAACAGTAATGGGATTATCCTGGGCGTTTGGTTTTCTTGCGTCGTTTGTCGATCACGTGGTGTTGTGGTATCTCTTCACAATACTGAATTCTCTTCAAGGGGTCTTCATCTTCTTAGCATTCAATATCACTTATTCAATGAAGAATATATTGACATCGAGTAGAGAGAAACAAACCTCTTCAACACCAAAAACTAAAGACACTTCATTAGCAACTCCTACAGTAAACAGAAGAGCTGTCCGTGTCGATGACAGTCGACACGAATCTCAGTTATAATAGCCAGGATAGGATTGGATTGCATGTTTTGGTTAGGTATAAACCTTTAAATCCAGCTTAGGACTATTTTTCCCACATTGACGATGGTTTCTACTAACATATTTATGACTGAAAAATTTGATAATTCTAAAAATGCAAGAATTGATATTTATATTTATAATTTAAATTTTATTTCAAAGTTTTGCTTTATTTTAATGATATGTAAGCTTTGGGCTTTAGATATACCATTGTAGTTGTATATCTAAAACCCCTGTACCAGGATGTCCCACCCTATTTTCTTAAGACTATTTTTGAAGTAGACATGAGGTATTATAGAATTTTATATTTTAATATTGTTATTATTATCATCATTATTCTAAAAATTAATATTCAAATTATATGTATTTATTGTATTATAAATAAAATATAAAAATGTATTTATAATCACAGTGGCGTAGAAAAATATTTTTCATTGGTGGGAGGGGGGAATGACTGGCCAGTGTCGTAACAGGCGGGGGGCAGGGGGAAACTGCCCCTCCCCTGACAGTTTTTACCGGGCTGACCAAGCCGTCGTACCGTGCTGGGTAATAAGAAAAAAGAAAGAGGGGAAAGGGAGGGAAAGAGAAAGAAGAGGAAAAGAAAAGGAAAGAAAAAAAGAAGAGAAAAATAAATACAAGAATAAAAAGGAAGATATCATAATGACCAGACTCACAACACCCTGCAACCCCTTCTCCACTTCAAAAACTGTCATAACTCCTTTGATCTATGCTGCCCGATGGCGTAACCACTAGGAGACAAGGGGAAATATCTATATTTGAAATATCTTCCCCACCCTTTTATAAATGCCCTTTCACTCCCTGAAAGTGCCAAAAAACCTCAAATTTCGCGCGCATTTCTTGTTAACATGGCCCAATTTCTTCTAAAAATTGCACATTTTAGGGAGTTTTGATCAATTCCAACGAAATTAGAATTAAAAACACGGGGGACAAGGGGAAAATATCCATCTTTGGAAAATCTTTCCCCACCCCTTGACAAATGCATCCTCTGAAAGTGCCTATAATTCTCAAATTCTTTGCTCGCATTTCTTGTTACGGTAGGCAATTTCCTCTATAAATTGTACATTTTAGGGAGTTTTCATCAATTCCGACAAAATTAGAATTAAAAACAAAAAAATATTTTGCGCGCTTTGCGCGCATTTTTTTAGGGCTTTTTTTAGTTTTATCCTTTTAAGTTATTTAAACACATAATAGTCCCAAACTCAAGAAAGGCAAACTTAAGCTAGATCATTTTAACCTAAAAGAATGGCCTCAATGTGTATAGATGGTGAAAGATTATGTTTGTAATAAATAAAACCATGATGAAAATGCTTATATTTAGTTTCAAACACACGTGTGTGGCCTATATTATAAATAAGATAAGACCTACGCTGCTGCTGCTGCTGCTGCTTATTATGTTGTAATGATGTTGTTTGTACTGTTCTTTAATTTTATTAAAGAGGGCCCCTGAATATCAGTTAACCTACTGAGCTAAACTAGAAGGCTTACCCTCTTTAAAGATGGTTGAAATAAAAAATAAAAAAAATAAAAAATAAATAAATACCCACTCTGACCCAAGACCCCTGTTACGCGCCTGGTGTTAGCGCCAATGTGTGCCCTTGTGCGGACAGGGGATGTGCCCCCCCTTCTGAAGCTGGAAACCTTGTTTTTGCAAAATAAATTGATGCAATTTGTTATTATAGGCCTAATCAATAAATTCCTCATCAACCGATATAACCTTAAACATTCTTGGAATTGACATAACATAACTGATGTCGTACACACCCTTTAGTGTGAAATGTGGCTCTCTTTGCAAGCACATCTAACATCTAAGGGAAGAAGAGCTTAGATTGGTACCAGATAAAATAATTTTGTTATCAACATTAATACATTATTTTAATTTTCATCTTTGTAAGCGCATAAGATAGTGCAAATTATTTCTGTGTTTAAAGCTCCATTTTATCCCATACATAGTCAAAATATTGGGGGGGGGGATGATACAATGGACCATCCCCCTTGTCAAATATTTGGGGGATATATCCCCATCCCCCGGGATTTACGCCTATGTATAATCATAAGGCATCCTTGAATTATGTTCCACTACTGAGAATCAATGTGTCTTCAAGACAAAGAATGTAGTAAAGTCATGCATAAAGCACGTATTTTACTAAGGTATATAAATCTATATGAAATGATCTAAAACTAAAAACAGGATATGTACTCAAAACATGAACATTATTATTATATTGTTAGTTATTAATGTTGTTATCGCTATATTATTGTTGTATTGTTTAATTAGTTTTGCTACATTACTAATAATATCAATGATAAAAATATTAGCGATATAATGATAATAAAATATTAATTATCATTAATATTTCACTATATCATGATTATATTTTTCATTTGTATCAAGCAAAGCCCAATAGTTCCCTTTTTCAATCTCTAGCGGGATTCGAACTTGCAGCCTCTCGCTTATCAAGGCGGGTCCAAGAATTCGTAATAGAGTGGCCTCGGGGAGGGATTGATTTTCACAGTGAGAGGGTCCAAGTACCTCAGGCCCAGCATGGTTGGGGCTGAGGTAAGAGATTTATAATTTTTGGCACCTTTAGATGGCCGAAAATGGCACTCTCAAACTGAAATTGAAATACAATCTTCTTTTTTTCTTAGACTATTATTTTTCTTTTATTTTATAAATCCTCTTGTGAAAGATTTGGGTTCTTGGGTATATAAAGTTGAATAAAGTGGATTGTATCGCCTGGTAATAACAAATTACTTATATAGTCAATGGCAACTTATTCAGCTTACAGAATGGTTTTAAATGTGTTTATTAATTTTAATAGTACTATCATGTTGTCTTCATTTGTATATGATTTGAATTAAAATTTTCTATGGATTGAAAATATGGAATACAGTAGGCCTATACATGAAAATTTGCAAAGTTGGTAAACTGAACCAATCTGTAATCAAACATCATGCCTCTTAGTCTTCAAAGTACCACAGTCGTGTCATCACGACGCCAAGTGGCCCTCTCTGTTGTCAACCGACGAAGGTCACCGTTCATTAAGCCTGAATGACTTCATAGGCTTTCTGGAATAGGCATTTTAAAATCTAATATTTTACCATCAAAATGTACTAAAAACACAAAAGCTGGCATTATATTAGTTATCGAACACACATTTAACCATCAATTAAAATTTACAAAGAAAAACATAAGATACAACATCTTAATTTTCAATGGTTTGTCAGCGGAGAAAATGGCGTCGAATTGAACTCATTTTCTAACGATAGCAACTGAGTAGTACTCTGTGTAACAGAAAGCAATAATAATTATATTGGTTACATACAAAGATGATACTTGCTTGTATTCAGTACTGCTATTATTTATCCCGGAAACACGTCAAAAGACCAAGAGGAATGCTTTTGGTCTATAAAGAAGATCCGTTATTACTGGAAGAATTAGGCATAACAATATTATAAACCTTGACCCAACAATGCCATTCTTTAACATGAGGTAGCTTCAATATTCAATCGTTCATTTTTTAGTGCAGGAGTCACGGCAGCAGAATGGATGCAACGTCATAAGTTATGATCATCATACCATAATACTGACATCTGAATTGGAAATGCAAAACCAATAATAAATAAATTGTTAATTTTAATGGTGTTGTTAAAGTTATTGATGTCTTTATTGATGTTATAGCAGTGATTTTTTTGCTCTACCTGGTACGTTATACATCTTTAAAATCAATACGTTCCCAAATACTTGCGAAGTAATTCGGGAGGAAATCAAACTGACGACCTCCAGATAGCTAGACTTCTGGGCCACCAACCTTACACTTATGCGTACTGCAATGATATTTTCATGTTATTAATGTTGTTATCGCTATATTATTGTTGTATTGTTTAATTATTGTTGCTATATTACTAATAATAATAATGATAACAAAAATATTAGAGATATATTATAATATATTATTAATATATATTATATAATATTTCATTATAATGGTTACTTTTATCTTTCCACATTTGTACTGGGTTCGATAGGAATTAAGTTCCGACGCAGTGAGTGTCAATTCGTACAATAATAGTCACATGGCCAACAAAGATGGGTTCGGGGAAACATGGCTTAACCAAGGGGTTTGTAATGATGCTTATTAATTCTTTTTAAACAACGTCCTTACGATATTGACCAACAAGGCTGGGTGTCACATGTTAATGAGTCATATAGACTAATAAGCTAAGCTTACATTCAAACCTTGTATTGTAAAACTACCATTTTAGCTCATATGAGGAGCTCTAGAAATCAAGTGCGTTCGCCTATTTAAGCGAACACAGTTCCTACCAGTGCAAACACCTATTCATTTTAGCGGACACAGTTACATGATTGTTATGTTACTCAGGGTTCGTACGCGTCCTTAAATTCCTTGAATGTCCTGGAAAAACAAATGAGCATTTTCCAGTACTGGAAAGTCCTGGAAATTTATGATTGTCTGGAATGTCCTGGAAATTTGATCATTTAACAATTTATCCAGTACTTATACAGGTTGCCCAGTAACAGTAAATTAAATAAGAAATGTTCCCACGATACTCTTCTGAGAAGCAGGTCAAGTCTTTGTACGCCGCCAATTCAGGAATGTTATCGAAGAATGTCAAGTGATGAAAGTGGCTGACTGGCTGGCAGTGGTTCAGACAAACTTGTGCGATTCAGTAAATGGAGATTTTCACCTACCCTGTACATTTTAGTAAGGCGGTGCTTTGTTAATCTTGTATATTAATTATGTTTGTATGTAATTTTAATTCAGACAATGATAATAATAGACTTTGTTGATATCTGCTATGGTGTTTATTTGCTTTCTGTTGTGTGTTATAAACAGTAATTTTGAACCTAAACTTCAGTTCAACAGGTCTTGTCGCACCTGCTCAGCTTTAGGTATTTCATCACTCTCAAGACGTGTAAACTTGTTCTGCATGCACGAATATATATGTTTGGCCCTATCCCGTGCAAGGCAGTTAATTAACAATTAACGTAACCATGGGAACGTATACTTCTACAATTATTTTCTTACACTGAATGGCGTTCGTGTTTATAGGACCTATACATTTAAAAATCTTTGATTTTATAGCGAAGTATTTCGTTAATTATGTTTCGGAAGTTTACTGAAAGACCAGCCGGTCGGCAGTCTATCAGTGCCGGTGGGTTGTTGAGAACCCTGTCGTACGTTAACATTTGCTGTATAGTGAATTAAAGGTTTACGTAGGCCTACAGCATTATACATGTTTAAACACAGAGATAAAATTAACAACTAAAGCCTAATAATAATTGACCTAAAGGTGGGTTCTCCACTGGGCGAATTTATTTGCGCGAATCAAAGCGACGCACAGTGGGCCA